TCGCAACTCATCTGACGTAGATTGACGCTGACACGTTATAATGCATAAGCCATAACCCTTCATTTTCTGTATTTAAAGTAGTAAGAAAGAACAGCTGAGGTATGCTTCCTTTATATCTCTTTGATTTTGATTCAATTTACGTATTTTCTGTAACTCTTCTAGTGTTTGCAGGTAACCACTGCTCAAAGATATGGACTGCTCAGGACGGAAATTACCGAAGGAGCTAGGAATACAACAGGGTGAGCTGTTTGAAAAACACAATGTAATTTTAATTTTTTTTAAGGACCTTTTAAAGGATATTTTAAGTTTAAAAACTCTGTAAATCACTTTTTCTCTGACCATTTACCCATTTGAGGGTTAGAGACGTAGAAGGAAGAGAATTTCTTCTCAGGTCAAGCCCATCTTGTCAGGAACTGATTTAGCGAAAAGTCTCCCACAAAGCTGGTTTGCTGGACTCTTTTTCACAAGCCAGTAATCAGAGGAATAAAACTGGTACAACAAATATCAAACAAATGATATGACTCAGTTTCCCAGTTTACTTCTCTTCACGAAATGATCAGACGAAAGTTTGATTGTTAATCCAAGTCTTCAACTGTGTGTTTCATTTATTAGGCTGAACGGAAGAGTAACTGAAATAAACTTTCATCATTATGGCCTCTCACCCAATGTCAGTTAAATCCACCAAGGAAACAACCAACTACGCTCGACTTTGTCGCCTCCTGATTGAAGTCGGTGGTCAAGCCTTGCGGGATAAATTTAATGACATCGTGAAGCCGGAAAATCTCGAAAGTAAACTTAAAAATTTCAAGGTCCAGTTAGAGGATCTCAAGAAAAAAAGAATTCTTAATCCAGTACAATGGAACTGTTTGTACCCATTAAGGTCGTCCACGGTTTCATCAAAAAACTTTGATATCACCACGTTATGTGTTCTCTTGACGAACATCTGTAACGTCACTCGGTACAAAAGCTGTCCTGATGATACGGATCTTTCTCTTGGAGCGGACATTTTTAGAATCCGGCATATTAGAAATGCTGTTTACGCTCATGTCACGAAAGCCGCCATTGACGATGTCGATTTCAGCAAGAATTGGAGTGACATCCAGGATGTAATACTGAGAATAGGAGAGGAGAGCTATAAGGCAACAATAGAAGAAGTAGGAACGGTCTGTATGGATCCTGAGCTGGCGGAATTTCAGAAAGAACTATTCAAACAGTGGAGAAAAGATGATGACATCATTAAGGAGAAGCTTGACAAGGTCGATGAATAAGTGACTGATTTGAAAGACCAAGTGGCTGTTATTGTAAGTGAGTGAGTTTTGCTGTGTAAGATAGAAGCATGAGTATATGAAACATTCGTAATCGAAGGTATTAGCACAGCTGTTCATTCCCTTGCTATCGCTATGCAAAGAAAACTAACTTCACTGTATATTTTCCGCTCGGTGCTAAAGTGCAAGTAAACAATATTCCCCACAAAAATCATTTCACAACCGTTAGTTATGACTGTATATTTGCCTTTATACCCAGAGAAAAATCATAAAAATGTTAATGACCGACTTTTAATAGGAAAACTCTACCCTTTTTCTTGAGCGTAACAATACTCAATACAAGAATACATACAAGGAACAACTTTTCAATTGAAGCTACTAGTTATAGTTATTCAATTTATTTTTGAAATTTCTTCCCTTTTTTTTCCAGTTAGCGAAAACTAACCAATATTTTCTATCATACATTAGACAACTACAATAAGGAGGTGCCTGTTTTAAAAGATAAAATGGGTGAGTGAGTTTTTGCAATATAAAACAATAGAGTTAGATCTAATATCGACCATTACTCTAACTTTCTGTTTTTATTATATCCATCAATCTTTGTAAGTAACTGAAGCTAATTTCATTTTCTGAATGCCTTTCAAAAATAGAAAACTGCACCAAGGAGGTGGCTGAGCTAAAAGGTCAGTAAAGTATACAACATACAGTAATGCAGTACAAAATAATACAATATAAAATAACAATGAAATTATTTTTTTTGTAATTGAAACTATGTCAGTTATGCTTATATAACAAAACGAACCTTAGTGTTATTATATACAAAATCGTAGGAAAAGGTTTTAGCTATTCATCGTGATATAGAGAATCCACACTCCGACTTTTGCCACTCAAATTTTGCGGAAAAAAGTATTTTTTCAAGGAGATCATGCGAAATCATAAGTGGAGTCTTTGAAATTTACTTTATTTGGTTGTTTCATCAAAAGCACCCATGCAAAAAGTCACCAAAATTGAACACGGAGAATACTTTTTTGCTGTTTGTTTACTATTCTTACTCACTTGATTTGATAAAAACAGAGATAAAACAAGACTTGGCTCCTTGGCCGTGTGCTAGCTAATCGTTCTTGGCAAAGTTCTTGTTAGAGTGCTGTACAAACTTAACTTTCGTTGAATAGTGGTAATTTATGTCGCACTCCTGATTTGGAAATGAGGAAAGGTAGAAAACAAATATATTTAATAAGCGGAGAAACTGCCTTTGAAACCCCTTTTTCAATTTAAGATAATTGACAGGACAAATTCCACATTTTGTCGAGGTTAATGAAGATTTCATCCAATCAAATTGGAGAAAATGACAAATGAAAGTCCAGTTACGGCTAGCGAGGGCCCCCCGTTTGTTACGTCTCGGTGCGCGTCATAATCAGGCGTAAACTCTATTGTGCTACCCAAAAGTAGAGTAATCCCTTTCCATGATTTGGCTTCTCTTTAATTTCGCACTCGATGTTTCGTTATAGCTACTTATTTTAAACCATGGTACTTGTTTCATATGTTTCTCAGGATTTGGTTCAAAACTATGAAGGTTTTAAGGAGAGTTGCATTTACTTGCACGACCTGTTTTTGTACCGCAAGCTCAACTTAAAACAAATTGAAAAGTGCACTCGCGCCTCATGCGCCGGAAAACTGGGTTGTCATTCACTGTTTTATAAAGAACACTAAACGATTGTTTGGCTTCGGTTCGAAACTATAACAGTTTCAAGAGAGAGATTTACAAACCATACGAAATTGTCTGTTTTGGGCATGAGGGTCACGCGATCGTTTTAAACCAAACAGTTAAGTCGTGCCGAGCTCTGTATGCAAAACTTTCGAAAGACTTGCTGTAGATCGCTACGCATTATTTTTTGTCTATTGTTTCTTGTGCGGTAGTGTTAATTGTAGTAAAGTTTTGCGTACGCTTTCTTTGTGTCATTACGTTACGTAGCATATATTTAAACGTATTGTTCATCGTAGTTTGTGCAGTTTTTTCCAAAGCAGTTTTGTCAGTAGTAGTTTGTATATTCGTTCTTTTCGCTTCGTGCAGCTTGTTCGGGCAAGAGTACCATATAACCCCATACATTAATTATGCATTCAGACTAGTACACTTTGTTTTTAAAGTTTTTTCGTGAAAGACAAAGAAGTGGAATGCATAATTAATGTATGGGGTTCTATGGTACTCTTTCCACTTGTTCGCCAATAGGCAGGATTCACAACATCGCAACAAATGTAAGTTTTTTGCGATCTCAAGCGAGCGAGAGACGTATGGGGAATGACGTTGGGTTTACAGCTATCCTGGTCTTAATCTTTGAGGACAAATTCGCAAACTACAAAAGGGACTCACAACAGTACATACACACACATACATGACCAAACCCGAAGAGCAAACAAAGAAAAAACGACATATATGGCTTCGCCTACTATCGGAGGCAGAAGCCACAAAATCGTCTAAAAAATTCTCAAAAATGCGTTAATTGCACGAATCCAAACCTACAAAAGAGACTCTCAAATGCACACATGCATGCGAAAAAACAAATGAACAAACAAAGGCACGCACCGTACACGCTCGCAAACGGATAAAACAAAACTTTTCAGAATTTGCTAAATATATTCGTCACTGACAAGTACATAGGGAAAAAATCACGCATCTCCCTTTCGATCATTTTTAGTGGGCAAAAGCTGTCAAGATTAGTCTACTTTAAAAATTAAACAGTTGCCCTTTGAGGGCAATTCTAACTTGATTAGTTATCCACTTCTGAGCGTTCGAAAAGAATCAGTAATCTAATTTGGTGGTTTAAATTGATGTAATGAAACGAAATATCAGAGAAGCGGAAGCTCATATATCGATTCAGATAGCTTTTATGCCCAGAAATTTGAAATAACAGCATAGTTAACTTACGTGACATTACTAGAAATGATTTGGATATATCAACAAAGTTGAAATGGTAAATATGCCGCCGTAGCGATTATAAAAGCTGACGTTCAGTTCGAG